TCAGATTGCTAATCTACTAACCAAACCCTTATCTGTTGCTCAATTTTCTGAATTGCACCAAAAACGACTGTGTACTCTTATTGACTCTGCTGATTAGAGAGATCTTCTGTTTTCATTTTAGCAAACTGTTATTATGTTTATTTTTTCATGCAGATTTTGCCTAAGCTGTAGAGTAGAATTTTTTTTTTTTTTTTTTTTTTTTGGTTTAAGAAGTGCGCTGATGATCAAGGATTAATAGTCTTGAGTAATACACTATGTTGCAGAGATGTGTTAAAGAGCAGACTTTTTTTATTGTTGATTGTTGAGTTAGGAATACATTACTAACTGTTATGTTATGAACAGAAGTGTTCAGAAAGTTACTTTGCAATAGTTGTAAGCAGAAGTATTAAGGAGTACTTTGTTGATCTGATATGTAGTTGGCTTATCTTGAGTAATACATTGATAATGCTGTGTTATAGAACATAAGAGTTCAGGAGTGCTTTGCATTGTGTTATAGAGCAGAAGTGTTTAGGAAGTATTTTCCTGATCTGATGTGTAGTAGTTTTGAGTAATTCATGTGTTCAGAGCAAGTGTTCAGGAAATGTCTTACTGGTCTATTGTGTAGTATTTGACTTGCGAATTTGTTATAGAGCAGAAGTGTTCAGGAATTATTTTGCTGATCTAATGTGTAGTAGTTTTGAGTAATTCATTAAGTGTTCAGGAAATGTCTCACTGGTCTGTTGTGTATTACTTGACTTGTGATTCAAGAAGCAAGATGCGCCCAAATTAAAGGGAGATTAAACAATAAGGAGTATTAGTACAAGACAAATACAAAATCTCTCCAGTCAGGCTTGAGGGGGAAAGTTGGTAAAAGAAACAAATACAAAGTATGTCTCTCCAGTCAAGTTTGAGGGGGAATGTTAGTAAAAAAAATGCAGATGCGAAACTAAAGAAAACAAAATGTGCCCAAATTAAAGGAAGCATTAACAAAATAAGGGGTTTAGGGCAAGACAAATACAAAACCTCTACAGTCAGGCTTGAGGGGGAATGTTGGTAAAAAGAAACAAATACCAAGTATCCCCCAGTCAAGTTTGAGGGGAATGTTGGTAAAAAGGGACGCAGACGCGAAACTGAAGAAAAGTAGGAGCTCTCAATGTTTGTCAAAACCGTCGTCGTTTTTGTCTTTGTATCAAATAAGCTCACTTCTACTAAGTAGACTACTGAGTTCCAAGTGATTGTATAAAGGGAAGAGATATATTCGTGTGTACTGTTCTGTTAGACATTCAGTTACAATAACAAGAAATCTAAAATCTTCTTGATTAGCTCTGTATCTTCTTTGTTTTCTTGAATTTTCAGTTTATTCACACAAGTAGAAGGGCACATCTCTATTCTATATATTGATACATACAAAAGTTGCATTCCTAAATTCTCTCAAGCTTTTTTCTTTTGTTTTTGAAAAAAATAAAATTTCATATACTCTTAATCGACCAATTAAAATCTAGAAGGTCATTGAAGATTACAAGATCTTCACTCACTCTCAAATTGTTTGCAAACGCAACTCCATTTGGTATGATTTGGAAAACTTTGGACTACAATAAAATTATATCTTATATTAAATCACAATTGCGGAGTATGTTTACTCGAAGAAAACTTACATGGGACAGTCCCATCACATCATAATGTTGATGTGGTTGGATTGTCCATTAAAATACTGCCATAGTTAGAAACCTGACAATTTGCACCATGACTCGTACTTTTCAAGGTGGGTGTATTGGCACTTCTTAACAAACTAAAGACCTCACTTTGTTATAATTTTCACCTGACAAAGCTATCTCTATATTAAATTATTAAAATTAACTTTCATTTTCGCTTATTACTGTTGATGGTCATTTTGTCAATGAAGCCCAATGCTACAATCAAGATCCAATAGGTACAACACCACAAATCAAGCTCCAATGCTCCAGTTTAGGCTTAAATGCCTGCTTCTAGGGACCTCAATAAACCCATGACGTTTTCTAAAGTAAACCCACGACACTTTTAGAGGTAAGCCCTGTGTTCTCTAATTAAAACCCCCAAGACTTTTAGAGGTAAAACCATAGCTTTCTCTAATGTAAGCTGAGGACACTCTCAAAGGTAAGCTAATGGCATTTTCTGACATAAGCCCACAACACCTTAAAGGTCAACTAAATCCGAGACTGGGACATGTTCTCTCACAAGCCTTTCTTCAACACAAGGCTCACTCGTCCAACACAAGACATTCCTTCTTAATGATTCAATGTATTTTACAAGCAACAACACGTTAAGGTAAACAAGAGTAGTTATCTTTCATTTTCCAAAGGTTGGTGGACCCAGCACTATCTCTCTAAGGCATTATTAGTGGGTTATGGTTGGTAGTAAGAAGTCCAATGGTTTTAGTAGAATTTAATATCTCTTTGATTGGGCCCACTTGGGGACCCTAATTAGACATTTCATATGCTGGTGGACCCCAGCCACTTCGCTAAGGCATTATTTAGCGGTTTGGTGTGGTAAGTAAGAAAGTCCAATAGGGTTTATTAGAATTTAAATATCTCTTTGAATTGGGCCCACTTGGAGGGACCCTAATTACATTTCATATGCTGGTGGACCCCAGCCACTTCGCTAAGGTATTTAGCGGGTTATGGTGTGGTAAGTAAGAACGTCCAATAGGTTTATTAGATTTAATCTCTCTTTGAATTGGGCCCACTTGGGGGACCCTAATTAGACATTTCATATGCTGGTGACCCCAGCCACTTCGCTAAGGCATTATTTAGTGGTTATGGTGGTGGATTAGAATTTAAATATCTCTTTGAATTGGGCCCACTTGAGGGACCCTAATTAGACATTTCAATTTAATAACGTGAAAACTCTTTTTACAAAAACTCAAGAAAAATGTGAGAATTATCTAAACTCCCTAAACTATTCTACGCATCAATAGAATTAAGTCTTTATCACTAATTTTTAAAAGCTCCAGCTCAAAGAAATATACTATTCGTCGATTCTGGTATTTTTTTTTTTTTTTTTTTTACATCTTTTAAAATTCTAATTTCCCATAAATTTTTATATTTTTAAACGAGGTTTAGGTTATTTAATTTACAATAATCTTTTCAAATCTATTATTTTTTGTAAGGGCCAATTTGTATTAAATATTTTTGGCTGTCCAAAAGGTCCCAATCCTTGCTAAAATTGCATTATCATCCCCCAACTTATTAAAAATGTTTTATTTTTGTTAAAGGGGAAATGCCCATTATAACCTTATTCAAATGCTTTTGCAAGAAGTGCTAAACAAGCTGCTTCAAAACTACGTAGTTTCATGGGCTTCCAAATTATAATTTAATTCAAAATTCCTTTTTGTTTTTTTAAATATTCTAACTTTTAAATTATTTCTAAATATTAGATAATATTCCAAAATTATTTTCGACATAATCAAATTTATTATGAATTATGTAATTAATCCTGAAATTAAAAATAATCTTATATTTAATTTTTGGAATTATCTTAATATAATTCACAATATATGCACTTTATCTCTTATTTAATTATTTATATTTTTGAAGATATTTCTAATATCTTTTTATTATTCTTGATAAATCATTTGATTTATCATATGTTGATACAAATATCTGCACCAACCAAAGAATTCCGATTGACCTGTCGGAACCGGAATGGGTTTGTGCGATTTACGAATACCTAGTAGTCTATTTTAGTTTTTTACGTATTTTTTCTTATTTTATTTCGGGTTTTCTTTTTTTAATTAAGTTAGATTTTGTTTTCTTTTGTTATTAGGAGTTTTATTAAGGTTGGTTGTCACCCTATATAAACTTATTTTTCATTTCAAATGTTAATGAATTATTTAGATTTTATTTCATATTTTAAGGTTTAAAGTTTTTGTGATTGAGACTTGTTATCATTCTAAAGGTGTAGTCGAGTGCTAACTTTGTTTTATTATGCTAACTCGTTGCATCATAATGTATGAATAATGAGAAAAGAATACAACTCATAAGTATTAAATAAATTATTTCCTCTATTTCTAGCTGTCTTCTTATTATGATTTTGTTTTTAAACTCCGTATTAGTCTATTCATGTTTCCCATTATAAATTCTTTGGTCTATTTGGGTTTGGTTTTTGTATACAGTCAACACACATACACATATGATGAAATGTGAGTATACCATCTATACAAATATATATAAAACACTTTCAATGTGTATATGTTTACACTTTTAGTTTCAATATTATTATTTAAACCTTATATTTTTTGGACCAATATTCTCTCCGGGTCTGATTTGTACTTAAGAGAGCTCAAATCAAGAGAGAATCCCAATTCACAATTTGTTCTTCTATATTTGCTAGTGGACCATTGATGCCGTCAACAACGATGATGTGGCTAGTGGAATTTTTGGTCAAGTGGCACCCATTGACACGATATTGATGTCAGCGACGACTATATATTTACTGCTTTTAAATGATATTTTTGGTTCGTGAACATTAGATGTTAGTGTCTTACCTATCATATTTTTACGTCGGTTTATTAGTTTGGATCTTTACCTAAAGTTTGTTCCAAACCTAGACAAGTGCTCTCCCTTATAATTTTAAAATTTGATTTCACCTCAGAGTTTATATTACCAATAAGACCATCTAACATATACTGAGTCTATATATATGTGTTAAATTAGACAGTCCGTTCTCACAAGACTCAACATAAGAAGAGTCCTTTAATTAGCTCGGCAATGGCTTCTTTAGGAGTGCTGCTTCTTGCTGTCACCGTTGCCTTACACCTTGTTGCTCTCACCATTAATGCCAAGCAAGAAATACTTCAACACTTTTGTTTAAGCGAGCCAGGCAACTTCTCTGAGAATAGTGCATACAAATCAAACCTTAATCGACTCCTTTCGTCTCTCTCCTCTAACACTAAAATCAACTATGGTTTTTACATTGCATCGTCTGGTCAAGACCCCGATATAGTTAGAGGAATGGCTCTTTGTAGAGGAGATGTTAAGCCAGACATTTGCCGTGGTTGCATCAATGATTCTTCTCTTGAGCTCTCAAAACTGTGTCCCAACCAGAAAGAGGCTGTCATTTGGTACGATTATTGTATGTTAAGGTACTCAAACCGCTACATCTTTGGCAGTATGGAATTCGGGCCTTATTTTTGGGTGTATAATACAAATAATGTATCGAATTGGTGTCAATTCAATAATGTGTCCAGGACCTTGTTGGATAGGCTTATAAAAAAAGCAGCTTCCGGTGGATGTCATCGCAAGTTTGCAAGAGGAAATAGGACCACGCCAAGCTGTCAAACAATATATGCACTTGTACAGTGCACCCCTGATTTGTCAGAGCAACAGTGTATTGATTGCCTAAATAATGCCACTGCATTGATACCAACAGCTTGTGCTGGAAAACAAGGTTGTAGAGTTATTGCACCTAGTTGTAATTTTAGGTACGAGAAAGATTTTATTTTCTACGACACTACAGCTAATCATCAAGGCCACGGCCACCTTAACTGCCGGCAGAACAAGAACTAGAATTTTCTCCTCCACTACCAACCAATTCTGCAACACAGAAAGGTATTATATAATTAACTTCCACGCTTTTATTCATTACAAAACTGTTGTGCTCATTCCAGATTGTATTTCTGCAATTGGCAGGAAAGGAAAGAAACAAACTGTTGCGTTCATTCCAGTTCCATAGATTATTATTACTTTTGCGCGGAAGACTTGATATCTATGCCAGCACTTTTTAAGGAATCGGGAGCCGAAGGCATAATATAGTTATTTCAGTTTCGTTTAATGTTATGTAGAATTATACTTTCTAATATCGCAAGAAGATCATATATCCTTGTAATAATACTAAATTACATAAACATATTAAATATAAAATGAAAATATATTTTAACCTTCTTTTATATATAAACTAGTTCAGAGGCCAATGGTAAACAAACACTCCTCACTCAACACAGCTTGCGACTTTCATCATACCGTGCTCTTCAAAGAATTACTCTTCTCAAAATCTCAAAGGTGACTGAGTTGAAATCTCATTCTAAGTAAAGATTCTAGTGGTTTACGAAGGATACAACCATAGAATAATAGGAAGGGGAGCTTTCCCCCCTTCTCCCGCAACTCTTGGTCTTAAGAATGCTAGTTTTAAGAAAGTGCTTGCTTCTTTTTGACAGCCAGTCACACAAACTAACACTATAATATTATGTCCCATCGATTTTTTAATGGTTTATCTGAATTCTTGATACAATGCATCGCGTTTAACCCAATAATAAATATTAAGCGTATCTTACCTCAGTCACACGATAAAAACTTACATGTAACAGTGATGAGACTATTCAATAAAATGATGTCATTTATACCAGTTGACAAACAAAATGAAAACTTTCATCTGAATTATTTTCCATCCTCTACTCATTTAAATAAAATATATTGTTACCATCTCAACCGAAGCTGTGATCGGCGGCAATCGTATCTCTTTTACCTATTAAGTAAGTTCATCATTCCATGTCAGTTTATTGGTCATTTTTCCTATTCAAGTTGTCGGATGCTGCAAATTCATCAGTTTCTTTGTTTATCTTATTCTGTCCTTTTTCATGGAACTCCAAATTTGGTTTTACTTATTACCACAAAAGAGATATTAAAAGTTATTTGAATTACACGATCACATCCTTTACCAAATTCAATAACTTCTTTTTAATTGAGTTAATGACATTATTCTTTGAGGTTGATATATAACAAACCTTTAAAGTTTCAAAAATAACAAAAATTCTCTATCGTTAAGTTTAAGTGTTAAATATAACAATAAAAGGACAATTTTGTAATATTTATTAATGTTAACAGTATAAATTTAACAACACTAATAGATCATTAACGGCAAGGGATGTCTGTATTTCAAAAACCCTAAAGGGATTTTTTATTATATATCATACTTGAGGAGGATTTTGTCACTAACTCTTTAAATTTATCAATTTGATAACTTACTGCTAATCTTTCAACAAGTAAAAAAGAAAAGAAATAGCGAAGAAGATAATGTGAAGGAGATTAATAAGAATTGATCGGAAGAATTGGGTTAGTTGGGCAAGTGACCAAGCGAAGTTCAACTAACATTTTAGGGTCGTTGTTTATTATTTTAGAAGGATTTTGGGATAATATTGGATAGTTGAATAGGAGAGATATGAGGTAAAATTTAAAAATTTATAAAAAAAACCCCTACGTTGTAATTTAACTAAAACCTCCAATATATAAAATTTTGTAAAATGACAAAAACCACCCCAACATCCGCAGTGCTAGATTCCGGCCACCACCACCAGAATCTGGCTGAAAAATGTGTTTACACACTAGACCGATTGAATCTGGCTGGTAGGGTGTTGATATGGCCTTTTCCGGCCATATCCACCATGGATCTAGCCGGAAAATGCCAGATCTACAGCTAGATCTGGCCGTCGACGGCCGAAAAATGGCCATTTCTTGGCCATTGCTGACGGCCAGATTTGCCTTTTCGGCCAGATCCACTGGAGTCTGGTTGGAAAAGGTCAAATCAGTGAATTACTGGCCATTTCGGTGGCGGTGTAGACCGTTGTGACAAATTCCAGCTACATCGGCTGTGGTGCTGGAATCTGACAATTGGGTGGGTGGGGGTGTTTTTATTAATTTTAAACTTTTGGGGGGTATTTGTGAAATTAATAAACTTAAGGGGTCTAAAAGTAATTAAAAAAAATGACTAATATTTCTCAAATAATATGTAAACATATTTTGGGAATAAGATTAGGAATATGGGTAGAATAATAAACAAAACAGAGATCCTTAAGTTTTACACTAAGGTCCTATGCCACCGTGTAGTGAGAGGCAGTTCTCATATTCTATATATGTCATACAATAGAAGAAAGATTGCTTTCTCTAAATTCTCTCAAGCTTTTCTCTCTTTGTTTAAAAAAAAATAAAAATAAAATTCATATTACTCTTACGACCAATTAAAAATCTGGAAGGTCGTTGAAGATTCAAGATCTTCACTCACTCTCAAATTGTTTGCAAACGCAACTCCATTTGGATGATTTTGGAAATTAATTTTGGACTGCATAAAATATTATATCTTATTAAATCACAATGCTTGGGGTATGTTGACTCAAAGAAAAACTTACATGGGACAGTCCCCCACATCATAATGTTGATGTGGTTGGATGTCCATTAACATAATGCCATATGTTAGAAAACTGACAATTTTCACCATGACTCATACTTTTCAAAGTTTGGGTTTATTGGCACTTCTTTAACAAACTAAAGGAACCTCACTTGTTATAATTTTAACCATGACAAAGTTATCTCTATTTAAATTATAAAACTAACTTTCATTTTCTACTTACTACTGGTGATGGTCTTTTGTCAATGAAGCCCAATGCTACAATCAAGATCCATATGGGTACAAACACACAAATCAAGCTCCAGTGCTCCACTTATGCTTAAATGCCTGCTTCTGGGGACCTCAATAAAGCCCTGACGTTTTCTAAAGTAAACCCACGACGCTTTTAGGGGTAAGCTCTTTGTGTTTTCTAATGTAAAACCCCAAGACTTTTGACTCTTAAAGGTCCACTCTAATCCAAGACTGAGACAGTTCTCTCACTAGCCTTCTTCACAGGCTCACTCGTTCCAACACAAGCAACTTCCTCTTTAAGGATTCAATATTTAAGCAACGACACGTTAAGGTAAAACAAGAGTAAGTATCTCTTTCATTTTCCAAAGGCTGGTGGACCCCAGCCACTTCGCTATGGCATTATTTAGTGGGTTATGGTGTGGGGAAGTAGAAAGTCCAATAGGGTTTTTACAATTTAAATATGTCTTTGAATGGGCCCACTTGAGGGACTAATATAGACATTTCAAAGGCTGGTGGGACCCCAGCCACTTCGCTATGGCATTATTTAGTGGGTTATGGTGTGGTAAGTAGTCCAATAGGGTTATTACAATTTAAATCTCTCTTTGAATTGGGCCCACTTGAAGAGACCCTAATTAGACTTTCAATTTTAATAACCATCAACGAGGGTCGTATCTTCGGTCGTCGTTGATGATCAAATACAGTCAAATTTAGCCATCAATGGCCAAATTGACCATAGATCTAGCCTTTTCCGACAGATCATGGTGGATCTGACCGGTGGAACTGACCGAAAAGGTTATATCAATGGCGAATCGGTAAGATCGAGCAAGCATGGTCGATACAGCTGGGGTGGTGCGTTCTGGGTACCCTACACTTTTTGAAAGAACCGGAACTAGAACCGACGGTTTCTTGAAATTTGGAAACAGAACCGGAACCGACGGTTCCGGTTCCTAGATACCTAGAACCAGAACCTGTAAAACGGTCCGGTTTCGGTTCTGGGTACCCTGTAAAATTACAAGACCCCCCAAAAGTTTTTAAAATGATAAAAAAACCCTTAAAAACTTACAAATACCCCCCCACCTGGCACTTACAAAAATAAAATTACAAATTATAAATTCAAAATGACAAACTCCATTACTTTGTAAAAGTAAATTCTCAAAAGTCAAACCAAACTTACTGTAATGGTTATTGATATAAATCTAAAAGATAAAAAAGTATTAACAAATTACTTTTTCTACAAAAGTTTTTATTAACCCCCCTAATATTTAATTTTATTTTATATTAGTCTCGGTTCCTGGTTCCTGGTTCCGGTTCTGGTTCCTAACTATAGGAACCAGAACTGGAACCGTACAGTAACGGTTCCAAAAATTTGGAACCGGAACCTACCCATTGATGATTGGTTCTGGGTAGGAACCGGAACCAAACCCAGGGTACCCGCCGGTTCCGGTTCCAACCGGTTCTTTTGAACACCCCTAGATACAGCTAGTCGTATTTAATGAGTGGATTGGGAGTACTTTTGTTAACTTTGAATATTTTATTATAAGGGTGTTTAGTAAATAAATAAACATTTGGGGTATTTTTATTAATTTTTAAAATTTTACATCGTAATACCCTCTTAATTTAACTTTTTTCAAAATATTACTCTAAAAACTACCCAATAATGAACCAAACGGAGCTTAAGTCTTCATCACCAAATTTTAAAAAGCTCCAGCTCAAAGAAAATATACTATTAGTCGATTTTGGTTTTTTTAATTTTTTTTTTTTTTTTTTTTTTACATCTTTTAAAAGTCTAATTTCCCATAAATTTTTATATTTTTAAACGATGTTTAGGTTATTTAATTTACAATAAATCTCTTCAAATCATATTATTTTTTTAAGGGCCAATTTGTAATTATAATATACTTTTGCTATCCTAAAGGTCCCCAATCTTTGCTAAAATTGCATTATCATCCCCCAACTTATTAAAAATGTTTTATTTAATATGTTAAAGGGGAAATGCCCATTATAACCTTATATCAAATGCTTTTGCAAGAGTGCTAAACAAGCTACTTCAAAACTACGTAGTTTCATGGGATTTCCAAATTATAATTTAATTCAAAATTCCTTTTTCTTAAAAACATTCTAACTTTATAAATTATTTCTAAATATTAGATAATATTCCAAAATTATTTATCGACATAATCAAATTTATTATGAATTATGTAAATTAATCCTGAAATTAAAAATAATCTTATATTTAATTTTTGGAATTATCTTAATATAATTCACAATATATGCACTTTATCTCTTTATTTAATTATTTATATTGTTGAAGATATTTCTAATATCTTTATATATTCTTGATAAAATCATTTGATTTATCACATTGTTGATACAAAAATTTGTACCGACCAAAGAATTCCAGTTGACCCTGTCGAACCAGAATGGATGTGTGCGTGATTACGAATAACTAGTAGTAGATGAATAATAAATGCAATAAAGTAAATGGCAAAGAAATTTTTAAAGTGGTTCGACAAG